AATTAAGTAAATAAAAACACAAATATATACATTCATAAATTAAAGTAGTGAATCATATTAAATCATATTCTGCTTTGCAATTTCTGGGTTAAATTGGCTGTTATATTTTTGTACTATTCGTGGCGTAGGTGCTGGTGTGATGGCTGCTTTGGCTGGCAGTGCCGCTTCCTTAGGTGCGAATAACTGTTCCTGGCGCTGTCGTTCCCTCTCCTCACGCAGCAGCCTCTCCTTGCGCAACCTGTTTAATTTATCGCGCTTCGCGTCTTCCGCCATTTCATTGCTTCTATCAGATTTACTCCTCTTATGCTTGTGTTTCTTATGCTTCTTTTTCTTTCTGTCTTTCTCATTTTCTCTTTGTCGCTTGGACTCAGGCGAACGCTCTGATGCAGCCAATGGCAAAGTTGGTGTGGGTGAGCGATTGCGTCGCTTGGAGACTGTTTGAATAGGATGTGACTTTTCTTTTGGAACCAGCGCATTTATCAATGTTAGTGGATCTTGTGATAGCTTTGCTTTTAGTTGGATTTCAGTGCGATTTTCAGTTCGATTTGGTGCCAATTCATACCAACTTCGCACTTTCAGAGCTTCATTTGTGTCCTGGCCCAAGTAAGTGAGGTACCCAATTTGTTTTTCATACTTCTCCTGTTCCTCTTTCTTTTCCTTTTCCAAATCCTTATTCGTTTTCTTTACATGACTTTTGTAGTCTGCAAATAAATCTACTGCGGATGTAACAGTAGAAGTTTGTGTTGTTCCTTCTAATGGAATTTCACTACTTTCTTCAGTAGTAGACACTTTTCTCACATTTTCAGGTAAGCCCGATTGCCTCCGAAGATAGTTGATGCGCGCCTCGCTCTCCTTAATGGTTTTAATAGAAGTAATTGTTAAGTTTTTGTTCGATTTATTTATATTATATTACTCACTGCCAATTTCAATTTGTCTAGTCTTTTGTTTTCGATTTCCTGGGCGGCTGCTTCGTCGCGACGTACGCGGGCAATATTATCTTTAGTGCGAACATGCCAGCTAAATATAGCAAAAATAAAATCAATTAATAAGGAACAGTTATATAAAATTATATTCGCCTTACCGTTTCTTGGGTAAGATATTCATTTTTCTGCAGTTGCTGAAAAAATATGGGAATGTAAACAAAACGCGTTACAATGTGAATGTCAAAAACAGTGCTGTGAAACGAATGTGCTGAGCACAAAAATATATTACTTTTAAATATTCTTAGAAATATATATTATATTATATATATTTGCTGTTTGCATTGCATCGAAGCGTCTGGTATTTAACTATCATTTTTATTTTAACACTTAATTTTGACTCTACCCCTACATGCTTACAAAACTCTGAATTGCATTTTTTGACAATTGGCAAACGCCAATGCGAATGGCAAATCAAATATTCATCTGTCAGAAGGAAGAAAAGGGGACACATATAGGAAAAACTGCAGCGCAGCAGCAAGAGTCCCGTCGAAAGTAATTTAAATTGTGAAAAAAATTTTGAATTAATTGTGAAATCAATAATCTAAAGCATAGGCAAAGTTCAAATTGTCATCGAATAAAAACGCGCGTTCGACGCCCGCATGTAGCTCAAGCATGGAACAGCGTATTCTAAAGCAGGACGGCTACTTGGATGTGGGCGATGATAGCAGCAACGACGGAGTCTTGCCTGGCGGAGCACCAGTGTTTGAAATTCGCAATATCGCGTATCATCCGCATCTAAATGTGCTGCTTGCGTTCGGCGTCAACAATCTAGTGAAAGTTCTAGATGTCAATTCCGGCGTTATATTGCAAACGTATCAATTAAGTACAAATGGTAAGCAGCACTAGCAGCAGCAGTTTTTTTTTTACAGGCATATACATACATATATATGTACATATGTACGTAAAAATTACTACACAGACCTGCAAATACATGCATACATATGTACATATGTATGCACGAACAAATGTCAATTTATTGCATTGTATTTTGTAAATTTGTCTGTATTCGTAAGGTTCAATATGCATACATATGTATGTACATACATTTGTATGTTTGCATGTATGTATGTATGCATGCATATGTGTGTCTGCATGTTTGTGCATGTTTGAAAGAACACGCTGGACGGTTGCGAGGATATTGTAACATTTATGTTATTTTGTGTTTATGTTGGCTTTTTTAAATGTATGCACACATACATTCGTACATGCATATGTATACAGAAATAGACCGAGGAGAATTCTATTGTTAATGTCTATTTATTACGCAGTTTACGCATATGTTTCTTGCTCTAACATGACATACATATGAGTATGTACATATGTATATATATATGTGTGTAACTGCCTGCTAGATTAAACAAACCAATTAATTGCAAGCCTTGATGAAATTTATAGTGAACCGTGAAGCGTGATCAATTTATGAAACTGTGTTTTTAAATATATATGTATATGTGTATATATAAATATATGAATATGTTTTTTTTTTGTTTTAAATATTTTGCAGCAGAAAACTTAATCCATGGGCGCTACATGCCATTGCAAGATAAAATCTTGTTCTGGGATGGTCATAATTTAGGCCTTCGCGGCGACTACAACGGAGTTTTGCTCTTGGATACTATACTGCAGGCGCCAATCGGTCAGAATGATGATTACATTAAGCTGGAGCTTATATTGTCCGAAGCGATCATCTTTCAGAATTGCATAAACGATCTGGAGAGTGAGGGCCTCGAGTGTCCATGTGATATTAGTAATGAACTGACACAGAAGATAAACCAGGCTCAGCTGAACACCAAGAAGGGTATCAAGGCACAACGTGTAAGTTTTATCGCTTATTTGTTTAATTTTTAATAATCATCTATTCACATTAGCATTAAATATGTATTTAAAATTAATCAGTTTAAACATATCATTTGTTTATGTATTTATTTATATTTTTTAAATATACATATCATTTCAGTGGAATACAATTTGTTTGGAAGTGCCGTATTCCAGTCTAAAATTGGTTGCAAACAATGTGGTCATATTGCTGAAGCGTTTGGAGCGACACATTCCGGTTCTGGCCATAGCATCGGCCATCAACGAACGTTTAACGGACATGCTAATGGGGTCTCGTTTGCCCGACTACGGCTGGAACTTTAGCAACTTCCAGCGTGTCCTCATGCACTCGGAAGCTGTGCGTCGCCAGACATTCGAGAAATGGCCGCACATGGACTATAAATGGGCGCTGCCAGATCAAATGGCACAAGCCGGCTTTTATCATCAGCCATCGTCATCAGGCGAAGATCGAGCTATGTGTTTTACGTGCAACGTGTGCTTGGTGTGCTGGGAAAAAACAGATGAGCCCTGGAGTGAGCACGAGCGCCACTCTCCTCTCTGCCCATTTGTTAAGGGGGAATACACACAAAATGTACCGCTATCCATTAGCTATGCCACCAATCCGGCAGTAACTTCGCCGGGCTTAGGATTTGATGTCATTTCTAACAGCGACTACGCTAATGTTCTCTGCACCAGCTGCACCCAGACTGGCGAGCTAAGCGTGTGGAGTATTGAGCGTCATCTGAAGCTCATGCACAGCTTTCATGTGCCCACACTACTCAAAGAGCTGTTCGAGGAGAACTTTGAGTGGGCGCGCGTTACTGCCATCTGCGTGCTGCCGAATGCGCGCGCCCGGGCTAAAGTCAACTATGTGTACTCGGAGAACTATAGTGGAACCGGCAGCAGCAACGGTGCTGCTCACGCCGGCAGCATTCCCGGCGGCAAGTTTGGTGGCGTTAATACACAGCACATAACATCCACATCGACGCTGCGAGCCGGAGTTGT